AATCTTTGGATATTGCAGTATAATTATGTTTATTTGCCTTCCTGTCGTATTCTCGCTTCTTTGATATTTCTCGACGTGGAGATGGGTTATTCAAATTGGTAGGAATCGTACAAGCGCATTATGCATGGGTTGCTATACCCCAACAGTGCCTCACAGCAGAAACGGTTACAGGAATATAACGATAATAGAATTATCCTTTTACTCTTATGGATATACTACACAAAACAATACAAAGGGGAAGTTGTAAAACATGACAAAATTACTCCACACTGTATCTAAGTTTTGTGACGTAATTTTCAGTCATACAATTGAGCCGGGGACCCCACGATATTGATATTCCTATTCAAATTGGCTTTTCGTGCGAACCTCTTCGTGTAGTTAGCTCAATTCTCGGCAATTTTTTTTAATACCCATAAAGCTGTGGTAGTAAAGCCCCTCAGTTCATGGCGCCTTAGTTATGGTTATCTACCCGGTTGTGGTTTAAATTCATTTAGCAGGAATGTGAATTAATTTCCTGTGGTTAAGTTTGAATATACATCACGTTCCGACCGCAAATTATTCTTGTATTTTGGCGTTCACAATTTTTTTCTATACATCTGGTCTGAGATTATATTTCCATATTTAACTTTTAATGTAATTGTTACGAAAATGCCATAGCAAAACGGAAAATCGAGGGTGATGTTTTCATAAATGTATCAATTTGTTATGACCATTAATGACGGAGAGGACGTCTGTCTTAAGTGGTCCGTGACATATTTGGATGCTAGTTAATTCACGCGTGGCCAAACGCCCTAACTGTGCTATTGTGGGCATAATTGACGGCGCGTCGCGTGTCATCACGTTGAAAATGAATCAATTCACACGCTGAGAACTGAAACAACTTCGAGACTTTTCAACGAATTTTATGACAGACAATGTCAGACGAGGCGAAACGGAAACAAGTTTCAGCGTCGCTGTTATATACAAGTATTATATTGCTTCAGAATTAGTTCTTTCAATAAGATTTTTTTTGAAAACCAGCCATAGATGGACCACTTTACAAAAGCGTGGTCCATCTATATTCTGTATTTTATAAGTCGACAAAGATTACTTGTCTTCAACATAAAGATGGCCGCCTGGCTCTATTTTTCTTTGAAAGTTTGGGGATTCGACCTGCTTCCGATTTTCTTGAAACTTTGTAATACAAATTTGCTATTATTATTATTGTGAATTATGTTTCAATTCTAATTTTATACTTGATGTGAATGGAAGGTTTAATATTTCTTGGTTTGAATTTCGTAGAATTCATCATTATAAAACTCTCTAGTATGACTGACAAACAAACAGACGCGCGCAAATATTCAGATTACAATATTATATATTATATTGAAAATAGGCTGCTTCACATGATACTATGCATTATGCAATACAGAATATTCCGCGATGAAACATATTTGACGGGGCGATCTATCTTGTCTTTAATCCAAGGTTTCCCAGCCGGGAAGAAATTCTGCTTTGGCGTTGTATTTGGTGTAGTATCACTAAAATTCTTCAGTTATATATTGTTACTATAATACCTAATTATACACACGTTATAAAGTACATGAGCTGTACAAAAGCAGGCAAACGACTTGTGCATATCACTAGAGATTGAACATAAGATTGCATAAATAACGTGGTTTTTGTGCATAGTGAGGGAGAAATAAGGAGTTCTAACTTAGGAATTTGACGACGAAGATTGGGAACCACTGCTCTAATGAATAACACGAATTCGTACCTTTTGAAATAGTTATGTTTTGTACATACAAATTACGATCATTCAACTCAACAGAAAAGCCAAAACAAAATTTAAAAACGTTTTGATTATTTTCTATAATACAAATATATTATCAATTCGTCTGCAATATTGCGAATCGGCCACCTAGAAATGAAAATATTTGCCCAATTATGGGCGTAGCCGGATACCTTATATAAAGCCCCTTGAAATAACTCTCAAATGCGATTCGGGCCCTACTGGTTTGGTTTCTTGCCATACGTACGAGATTAACCCAAGTTTTCATTCATTTTTAGAAACCGTAACATCTTTTTGTATGGTTTTTACTGTATATTTACTCAATTTTTCATAAAGAATACTTATTTTTCTAAGCAAAGTATTCAAAAAGTAACAAAAATATTGGAATTATGTTTTTAAACGCAATTTGTTGCAAATCGCAGCTTTTTGTGTTTATTTTGAAATGGTCTCATCACTACCGTGACGAAGACTGCTGGCCTAATATTGCAGTTACGTTTAAGGTTTTATTAATAGGAAATGAGTTTTTTGAAAATATTCAACAGCGGTGATGAATTTTTGTTCTTTTTTCGTGCGAATCGATACAGTACGAAAATTTGTCACCAAAATAGCTTGAAAAACTATGCTGGGTGCAACATATATTGTGTATATAGGCTCCATATTTTACATGTACTCCAACTTGATTTGTGCAAATAACTGTTGTGCAAGTGTCTTATTTTAAGTAATGGCTAAAATAACATTCGCACAATTTTGGCACAGCAACTCGTCGAAGCCCCAGAATTGATACATACGTCGAAAACAAGTTTATTGCCACACGAAACCAACAATATTTGGTAACATATGCTGAATTTGTGACGATTGAGCGCTGGTGAAAAAACAACATAATATATATTAGGTAATTTCGAGAATTAACTTAACACTATCGCCCTGGTTTCTATACATTGTATTGTTTTCTTTAATTATTTTCATAGCACCAGAACAGGAGTTTCTCAACCGACCGATTTTTATTTCTGTAAAAATAATAATTTTCGTTTGCGTGTGTACGTATCGAAAACGAAATTTAGGAGGGTGGGATCTTAATTCAACTAGTTTCGATTTTGAAGCATGTTGTATAATTTAAAATATAGAATATGACCACATTTCAAGGAAAAGCTGACGAATCTTATATAGCATAACGGTAAAAAAACGTATTTTATACCATTTGGGTCTGATTTCCACTCAATCTTGAAAAATGCTGTCGCTAGACTCGCTACTGTCTTTTTATTTCTACTTTCACAAATTGCATTTGTTTAGCAAATTTTAAAATGAGTAGAATTCAAATTTATATGAATTTGTGTTATTTTATTTTTATCAGTTTTTCTCATTTTTTTTTCAAAATATAATAATATCCTTCATAACATAAGACTACCCTATTTTAAATTTACCTTATTTTTATGGCTTGTTATAAACCCATCAATAAAATATGAACTACTGCCTAAAATCAAACTTTCAATTACAATCAAGTCTTTTGTGATTCGAATATTTGCTTTGCATTTGCCTTTCAATCGAATGAAATAAGCTTATTTATGTATACAATGAATGTAGAAGGACGCCTATTTTGAGTGTCGAAATTTAGGTTGCCATTAATAAAGCGACTCAAAATAAATCTATAATGTTTAAAAATGGCGAAATTCGGTGACAGCACCGGAACGTCGATGTGGCGCCGCAGACAGATAGTCCTTCGCGCCATTTGAGATTTCGAGTGCCTGCCTTTCCTGACTTGTGTCGTTGTGTGAATTTCTCGACACAGCTACCAGGTGGGGGAGTCATCAACGCAGAGAAATGATATTTAAACCTGTGAAACTGTTTGTAATACCTGTCCATACTCCATACTCGATGTTTTTTAATTCAAATTTCAGTTTATTTTCAACATTTCAAAAATTATTATTGCAATGAATAAATGAAAATATTTTTCTCCGGCAGAAATAAGATTCAACATTCAACCAAATTTCAAGAATTGAGGTGACGAATAGTTATTTTGCACAAAACATGATTGATTAATGATTGTTACCACTGAAACGCAATTTTATTCTTATAATATGTAACGAGAATTTATACATTTTTAACAATCTACAACTTTTAAATTTCAAAACTTAATAAAAATCCAATAATTAGTTAAAAATTTTCATTTGATGTACTTCTATATATATATGGCTGGAACATTTGATAAAATGAATAAAATAAGCAGCGATCACGAACTATTAAACTACATCATTGAAAAATAATTTCATTATGCATTTCTTAAAAAAGGAATAATAAATGACACAAATTGATAGTTATACAGCGATAATTGTATTATCCAACATTTAGATGAAATACTCTTTTCGGGGATAAAATATTATCAGTGCATCATAAACAGCCGCGAAATAAATTATTTGCTTCTGAGGCGCTCCAGAAGTGCATGTACCAATATGGAGGTAACTAATTTTGTTCGCCAACTTTACATCAAGTTGTTTAAAGGGACTGAAACCTATGGGCAGAGGGTATATTTACTTGGCTAACACAGACGGTCCCCGAACTCGTAATAGAACTGAAATAAGGGAAAACGGAATAAAATTATGGCCTAACCCTAACCTACGGGAGTACCGCTTCTAATGTGTGGCTGTAAAAACAAAAATGTACTTGAACTTATCTTATTCACTTCAATTTTAAATCGAGTAATATAATTATTTATATAGGTTATAAATATTCTAATCAAATAAAATTATATTTCAAATAAAATTCTTTTCAAAATATTAAAAAATATTTTGTACCTTTTTGTAAGTCAAAATTGTTTTGTGCTGCGATAAGCAAAAAAATTAACACCACATAATGTAAAAAAAAAGTAAAATATAATACCATTTCAAATGCGTTGAAATCCCTACAAAATGACATTTTCGACAAGACATATTAGGTTTCTATAACATTTGTGCTTACATATGGGTAAAACGAATCGAAAATTTCAATTTAAATCGAAACTGAATTTTCACTTATTTATAATATATTGTATTGAATCAGTAATAATCACAAACTTGGCCTGATGTCATAATTCGTAAATAATTTGATCTTTGACTTTCGTACTACTATAAATATGACCTGTATTGCGTAACGATTTTAAAACCCGTCATAATAATAGTTACACATCCTGAAGTTGGTATCTTGGAACCTATAGATAAAATTTTACAGTTTCGGTATCAGATTTAATTAATGATTCTGAATATATAAGTAAGCCAGTTGGACCGTTTTCTTGAATTTGGGTTCATTTTTAATTGCATTGTAGTATATTTCAAAGATACTTAAAACTGTTGTAATGTTCTATCAGTTGCGAATGTAAACCTAAACGTTATGATGATATTTGAAATGTTCCAACCGATTATAGTTGCAACCAGGCGTACAATTATAAGTGCGTTTCCCGGAATCCAAGATCTACAGTAAAATTGTACAGTGCAGCGTTAATAAACCACGTGACTAACTCAATCATCCAATGTTTGAGTTTTTGAATCAGCCGATGACAAATTCTTGTATTCGTGATCAACGAGGTATCTTTGAATTCACCAACCAAATCCTGATAATCGTTCTAAGTGACTTGTATTGGTCCGTTAATACTAGATTTGAATGCGCCGTATGAATTGTCTCTCTCCGGTCTAAACAATGACATTACGGGTGACACTCGTGACGTGTTAGGTGATGTAGAAGACCCAAGATTTATTTCCTCAGCGCTAGAACAGCTTGATAACGTTGATGGTGATTTTTCCACAGATGTAGGGGCTACAGACGAGGTCGCTAATCCCGGAAGTTGTACTTCCGCATCGTCACAGTCTGAACTTTTTGAGGCGTTTCGAGAAGAACGAAAATTTTCTTCCTTGGCAACAGATTTAAAGTTTAGAAATGGCGGGTATGTGCTTTGTCTTTGGCTGGCATATTCAGTAAGACGACTTTGACTGCTTCCACTATTTTTATTTGATGGAGATGATACTATAATTTCATCTTCTTCTTTACATCGCTTAGAAGGTGGCGAATCTAGAAATGAAAAATATTAAATAAGAGTAAAGTATCTCACATTTGCACTTAGTGAATGAAATGACTTGAAGAAATTTACTCCATCAGTACTAAATTGTTACCATATACCTTAAAATCAAATTTGCATCGTTTTCACTTATTTATCATTCAGTCAAAATTAAGTTCCATGCAATATTTCTAGACACTTAAGATTAAATAACCAATAAATGCGACCAACTGTGTTCGAAGATTTTAAGAACTTAATTTATCAAGAATATTTAGTTATTCATCTTTAGTTTACACTGCCCAGTCGCAATAAATCGCTGATTTTTCTTACTTGACAAATCCAAGGGTTTCAAAAATGTTCTGTCGTTTTTCTCATTTGAATGTCTCTTTCTATTCGTTAATTCAGAAAACTGGTTGATGACACTTGGTTTATTATCCCGGACAGGAGATTCGTATCCATTCAGTGGACTTCTAAATCGTTTGTCATCTTCAGAATATCGAGCTACCCTTGACTGCACCCCTATCGATGAGGTAGAAGAGGTTTGTGCGTCCCCAGCACTTCTCCTTCTAAATGTGGCGGGTGAGGTGGCATCACGACGAGAATTTAACATTGAAGCCCGCTCTTTATCATTACTTCCATTTTCCTCATTCATTGAATAATTTCTCATGATCATAGCGAGTAAATCACCTCCCATGTTTTCTAAAGCGCGCTTTAAATGTTCGTGTTGTCTTTGTAAAGATTCGCGGAGATCTTTTTCTCTGTCGTGAGCACGTTTCCACTTTGCTAGTTCAAGTTCAAGTAACTCGATCTTACATTTTTCTTCTTCGTTTTCATCCGATCTTAATTTTGTCTAAAAGGATAAATTTGTCATATTGATTAATCATTATAAATAATACAACTTGATAATATACAGAAAAACAAAATTTATTTTCAAATCAAAATAATTGAAAACAATTTAAATAGCTGTACATGATGTCCGTTTTGCATGTGAATGGTGTGAACAGTCAACTCAAAATGGACGCAACATTTTTAATATAATATCCTTATAGAATACAAAATGGCGTTTGTGGTTGATGTAACTGTCACTTAAACCGTAATTCATATCTTGTTCTCTCTACCAAAAATAATTTCCGAGAAGAGAGACATCGAATTTCACATAAATAATAAGAAGACGACGATAATTGCTAACGTATCATTATGCGATTAAAGTAACAATTTTGGCAAAATACGCGGTGACTCATGTTTTAGGAAGAAGTTTTTTTGTTATCCAATCCTAATCTGTAGAAAATATTAGGTTAAAAACTACCACCTGATATATTTTTATAAAACAAATTTTTCGAAATAAGTCTTGAAATCCCCCTTTTTCTGACGTTGGTACCGGTGAAGTAGATAACCGTTGTACTTAATAGGACAATTTTGAAAGTGGGTTTTATAATAACCCACAAAACCTCAGTGTGTGTGAAAAATGAAATAAAAAAGAATAAATATTCATAACATTTAAATTATTAATATCTCCCGAAAATGAGGATAGGTTGAATACTGAAGTGTAAATCTGTTTTGCCTGTCGCTCATTATTTTGAATTCCCAGTGCATTTGGATAAATCGCATATTTGTTGTTTTTCACTTGAATTTAAAAAAGATTACAAACATAATTTTTGTCAACTCAACGGATTTCAAACATCTTTAAACATTACATAAAATACCAAATATGGCAACAATTGAAGTAATTTTTGTTGTTCTATTCATATAGTTTGCGTTATTCTTTGGTTTATGAAGGCGTTGTATTTTATGCACTGTTTATTTATACAGTTGGGATTTTTGTATAATCAACAAATCTGACAAAACATAATATAAACATTCCAAATCTGTTTTTTTTTTAATTAATAAAAATTTCACAAAGCAAAAAATGGAAATGTCGAAATTTCTAAAAATCAACCGTAATGAAAAAATGTTTATTTGCAGCTGGTTAAAAGTAGTTTTATTTATTTATTGTAGTTGCATGCAATCTATATTGCATCGATATTTGGTATTTCAATGTAATTTGGGACAAAAAAATAGACAAATCATCACCATAACTTTTTCTAAAAATTCGAAATCATTTAAAAATTAACTGGTTATATATAAACTTTTACTAATCGCATTGTTTTAAAAGATATTTTACATATTTATATTTTTTGTTCGTATGTCGGAAGTCCTGTCTAAATTATAGATGTCTGGACATATCTGAACCGTTGCTGAAATGGAGGAATCCAGGTTCTATTTAACATAGACTGTCGCAACAAGTGGATCTCGAGTTTATTTTCAGCATTGAACTCATTATAACATAAATAACATCATCACAAATATGCAAATTTTATCATTAATGAGAGATACTATTTTGACATTGTTTTTGTTTACTTTAATTCAGAAGTCGTGATTCTCGATACATTTTTGTTATTGTTTGTATAAACCATAGTTTATTTATTAATCCGGTTCCAGGGTGGGTCCTATGTTGTTTATGATAATGTAATGACACTAATGATACGATCTAATTGTTACATACTGTTTCATTTTGTATTATTAGATCATTGTTTGTTGAGAATTTTTAGCGTTATTTGGTTGCGACATTGAATTAGGGCTTATATGTAACGCATTGTCTGTACCTATATTTGCGATTCATATTTCGTCAGACTATATTTGTAACTTCTGATTTAGTATGAATTTCTACTTTGGCATATGTATTTGTAAAATATGTGTTCTTAATATGATCACATTATTTTATAATTTAAAGTAAAATTATATATAAAATTATATTTCATGATTTTAGTTGTCTATTAATTTTTTTCTGTATACATTATAAATTCATTGGAATCATATAAAAATACTAACATTTAGAATTCGGTCATGCTTCATATCTTTATAGCTTCCTTCAACGTTAGCGACATTAGAAAAATAGAATTTGATCCCATTTATCTCCGCGAAGTTCGCGATAGCGCTGATTCTTTTATCTCAGAATTTATGCTAACCTAAACAACATTGTGACGTTGTTTATGTTTTGTTATATCAAGATATTTTGGTAAAATAATTGTTCTGAAGATACATGAATTTTTTGGTTTTGGCAACAAGCTAAATACAGGAATGATTGTTGATATTAAGTTTTGTATATGTTACATGCTGATGGTATGTCGGATTATAAGTTCTGAATAGAAATAAAACGTGACAGAAATATGGTTTATCTCACTTTTTATTATTATTTGTGTATATTTCCATATAGTTACTTTTATTTTTGGATATTTCGTTTACGAAGATATTATTGTTCTTATTCCTTTAGGGCGAGTCTACCACAAAATAAAAACGCCTACGTGTTTTTATATGACAAAAAAAAACAAGAAAAGAAGAATGTCTGCAATTTTTGACAGCGAATGAAATGCGCCCTGAGTCGAGTTCAAAGGTTGATGTATGCTAAATTTTACAGACTGAATTGATAATAATAATTCTAAATATCGAAACAATATAAGTAATTCCATAATAAGTTATTGTCGCAACTAGTGCTTTTTGGGTACTTCCGTGGTACGTGTACCAGGTTAGGGCTAGTGCATAATTTTTTTTTTCCTTAATTTAGTTCTAGTTCGGGAACTGTCTTTGTTAGCCAAGTAAATATAACCTATGTTCATAGGTTTCAGTCCCTTTACACAACTTGATGTAAATTGGGCGAATATAATTAATTCCCTCCTATTTTAGGACTACACATACTGCCAAAGCGCCGAAATTTGTGGGAGGCGTGAATAAGACATTATTTGCGCTTTGGCATCACCTGCAATTTACTTCGATATTTAAATGGATTCCTCATTTATTCGAGTAATGAGTGAAATACAAATCTCATATCTCACCATAACTCTTTCGGGAGAGTGCTGTCCTCTTTGGTGGTGACCTAAGCTGATTTCTTGATGAATTGATCGTTTTTCTTCCATGTTGCGCATGCTATCTGCGGAATACCCGCCAATTATTGCTTTGCCCTGTACAGAGACAAAACGAAAAAGCGTAAGATAACGTTTCATTACGATTCTACTTTTTTGCTTTCGTTTAATTACGATCACAAAAAATGATAATTTTCTAGTATTAGCAGTAATTTAGTATTGACTTTGATGGGTTGCTATTTATCTGCAATTCTTGATTGGTTGAAAGAATTTTTGGCAAAAAAATCACGCAATCTAGTTAATCAGTGACCTTTTTTACACAAACACATTCGACAGGCATATAAGTTGATAAAAATGAAATAGCACTGTTTTTGGCGAATGTTTAAAAATATGTGTTAAGATATAATCTGTGTACATTTATACCAGATTACAATCGAATTGCAACCGTCTTTGCGGAGATATTGACAGTGAAATCTTAACTTCTCGTAAGAGAAAATGAAGTAATTTCCGAGAAATAAGTTCAAATCGCGTGATATCATCCAAGATCGCGTGCTAATGTACAAAATCAAGTTCTTTAATGAAAGCATTTAAGCGACTCTGCGCGATTTCGCGTGCGTAGTACACTGGATGCGGTCACTGATTTGATAGATTTTAGCTAATCAGATGAAGTTGTATTTTTAATGATACGTGGAAAACAAGACTAATTTTACAGCAAAACAATGGAACATGGAATGTTTATCATTCGGTTCGTATCACGCTATGAGTAATGTGAAAAATTGCCGACAATCTGCGGTGTCTCAAATACGGCTGCAATTAGGCAAAGCAAAAAAGATCTAAGCATTGACATGTTTTAACTATTCAGAACAGTGCATCGTTTTCTTTTTGAATAAATAAAACGAGGCAATTTTGAAATTGAGCAATTGCAGTGCAATGAGCGGAATGTCCGTTTGCTTGACCGCATTGCAATTTGAACTGTAGTTGAAATTTGAACCAAAGACGATTTCTTCCGTCAACAATCACAAAAATTGTTTTAAAATTTATCTCTACTAATTAGGTAACTTATTTCTTAAGGCTAATGCAATTTAGTTGTTATGGCCATTACAATAATTTCTCTATGATCAACATTCGGTTTCTTCAGCTTGAAATTTACTCATATTGAATATGCTATGTATATACTTTATATATATATATAAATTTATATATATTATTTAATATACACAATATATTTTTGCATGCAATTTTAGTCTGTTTGTGTTTCATGTCATCCCACGATGTCTCTTATCCGACATGACCCTTTCAAGGTCTCGTGATATTCGCACAAAAATTAATTGTTGTATCAACACCGCAAATTGTTCTAATTAATGTCAAAACTTAGTTTCAAGATTCGTATAAATTTTTTAGTGAGCACGTTGTCGATATTCGTGATACAAAATAGCAAAAAATTGTAATGACGTTGGTAAAATAACTACAATTACATAGATCACGTGAGATCACGTGTTTCTTAATTTAAGATTAATATCACAATATCTATATTTGAATTTTAATGCGCTAGAAATCAAATTCATGGATCGAAATTACGAACTAAAAGCTCCATGAATATGCCGTCATAATTAGCCTTCAGATATACGCTGATTTCCCTTACAAACAATAGTGTACGACATACCCGAAAAGCATACCGATCGTGGTAAAAATAACCAATGAAAAATGTTCTGGATATATTAATATCTGATTATCATAACTTTTATTCGCCGAATACAAAAATATATTTGCAATGAAATAATATGAAAAAAAATCGTCGCTACAAAATTCATTCAAGGTTTATCTAGTAGACTACAGCTGTTGGACAAGAGGGAGTGAATAGGAAAGCTTATGTATAAATTTATAAGAAAAGAAAAAAGAATTAAAAAAAATGACAATTATCTTCATAACACACTTTATTTTATTTCAATATTATTTTTTGAAATATCAAACGGATAATGTTTTGAAATACAGCGCGGAGTATGTCCAGACGACGTGGTATGGGGTGATGAAATGGGTCACGAGTGGGTAAATACAGACTTTTCGCTAACGAAGGGAGCCGCCCACAAAATAAATAATAACAACACAAAGGTGATTCGACAAAAACGGACAACCCGTTTCCGAAACCGTCATTTAGAAATACGAAGCGATAAGTTTTGTCATAATTTTCTTTTCGTTCAAATTTTTTATTTCTGGTTTATCTATACATTAACAAGCATGAGTTATAAATAAATTGCAACGTTTGAGCGTGATACACATAAAAAAACAACATAGAAGAAGTGTGTGGAGGATATAGAGGAAACTAATTTTGTTCGCATACTTTACATCAAGCTGTGTAAAGGGACTGAAACCTATGGGCAAGGGGTGTATTCACTTGACTAACACAGACAGTCCCCGAACTGTTTTACCGAACTCGAAATAGAACTAAAATATGGGAGATCGGAATAAAATTATGGCCTAACCCTAACCTGACACACACACACCACGTGAGTACCGATTGGCCTCCGTTTTTTGTAATTATGAGACAGGTAAATACAATTTTAAACCATTCACACTTTATGTCAAAATTTTTATAAGCTCCGTATAACGGACCTTCACAATGAAAGTATGCGATAACCTAACAGCATAAATTGGTGATTGCCAAAACCAATGTGTTTTATCGCAAATTTTGCTAAATGAATGAAAAATGAAGTTGGCATTACGAAGTTAGATTCGTTAATCTCGCATAGATATTCCCCGCCTACTGCATTCCGCATATTCCAACCTCAAGAATAAATTGTATAACAAAAAAGTCCCTTATTTTAAAAGGATAATTGAGAATAAAAACATTTTGCATGACGTACAAATCGGAAACCAATATTTAAACCGGTTATTTATTTCATTACCCCGAGGCATGAACTTTTATTTTCAATTTTTGCAGGAGAAATAATCGCAATCGTGTGTCAATGACTCACAAATGCACATGATAGACGATGAGATAAGAATTGTCCAATCTATAATTTCATACGTTTATACGAAATGCAAACCATGTTGCAGATTGTGTAGGTGGGGTTTTTTATCAGTAAAAAAACTTTCTTTGTTCATATATGACCAGGCATGGATATTTGATTCGATTATTGCCGCTTACGTGGGAGTAATTGCGTTATATCTTATCTGTTTTGGGTATGTAGGTATATTTTTTCATCCGGACCATTCACTGCACACTTGAACTTTAAAGTAAACACGAAGTAAACCTATGAATTGCTTTGTTCGTATGTTGTTGTTGTTGCAAAAAATCACTTTTCTCTTCAACTAACAAATTTGCAGTTGTTTAAAACTGTTGCTGTCACTGGAAGGTTATTACTTTTATTTGTTCCTAAAGTTTTACAAATCCTATGAGATTTGATATATCGTTCAACAAATCGATGTTTTATTTTTATTTATGGGAACATTATTTCGACTAATGTGACGGTCTATGTCAAGGCTGCCCTCCGTTTTGATTATGCAAACTCTGCGCTCAGACACATTTCCGTATTAGCCGCTTAGGCTACCGGCACTGGATCGTATTCCTTTCATATCCAGAGGATTTCTGGAGTCTAGCTAACATTGGTTAGCATTCATACTTGAAATGTACTTTTCTTCGAACTAAATTACATGTAATGCGCACTGTGCACAATGTAATCCGCACTTGGCACAGTCGAATATGGAACATTATTATTATTACTCTTAGTAAAAGCACTTTACGTTTTCTCGAAAACTAACAACGAATAGAAAAAAATAAACTCACTGTTTTAGCATTTCTTTTCATGAAATCGCCCGCTGCCATGGCTGCTAGAGACAAATTTCTGCTAAAGGGGGAGGTTACCCCAATGGCCTTTGCCGAAGCCGACGGAATACCGGTGGCAATGGAGCTCGATGGCATGATGAAAGGATGCAATGCTTGCTGGTCAAGTATAGTTCCATGGGGATAGGAAAGAAGCGGGAAATCAAATTCGGGTCGCTGACGAAGATCTCTATGAGCGACAGAAAGGAAGTTATATGGATTAACAAAGTTTCTTGTGCCTAGTGGAGACGTTAGGCAATTCAGATTTAGTCCTTGCAAAAGAGGGTTTTCAGTCCCTGGAACGAGAGTAGGAGTACGCAACCAAGGTGTTGGGTTTCTTACATCAACACGCGGCCTGTGGTTAAATTCAACGTGATTGATTCCATGCATCTTTTCACTCGTTCGATTCTATGAAAAAAAACAAGGTATTTATTTGTATCTATCTACACTCAAAATTTAAATCAAGTTTTCTTGTCGTTTTAAGTCTCTTCTTACCTCCAAACGCGAGCCTTGAAATTCCGCATGCCTCGCTGAATTCAAATCCTTTCTTGTTTGACAATTCCCATAAGTTGGTGACGTTTGTGCTGCCGTTATAATTGCAGAATCCGAGTTTTGAGCTTGAGAATGTCTTCTCTGTAAACGACGCCTTATCTGTGTGTCTGAAAATGTGTCGTTGAATTTATTTATTCCGCATTTAACTGGGTACATATCGACACAGTTCATATATCTAATTGGTTCGAAAAAATCGAACAGAATCATTATATCTGGATGAGAATTATGAGTTGAATGAATCTCTCAAGTAAAATAATTCTAATAAATGTCGAATAACAATGACATGGGAATTATTCAAGCTAAAATGATAGAAAATGAAAATGAAAAAAAAAAAATTTAAAAAATTTATATTAAATAAAAATAAAACGTCATTGTCTAATAGAAAAGAATAATTGGCAAAATTACAAGGAAATGGCGAAAGAACTTTTTGTTATGACAAGCTATACCAGCGCCTTTCCCGGCCAGTGAAATTTTGGCTATTGTTACTTGGAAAGACATGAATCTTCAAGCTTCGGCATTGCCTACCCAATTTATCGCACCCTGGGTGAGGTGGAGATTCGAACCAGGGATGAGTAATCTAAGATAACACCACAGTTAGGTCTAACGCCTTAATTGCTATGGCATCGTGCCGTCAGAATTAAAAATACTTGATAATATGAAAAAAAAAATAGTTTGTAACCATTTTCGCGAACTTAGCTATTGCACAATGTGAACAAACCAAAATGTATTACTAGAAGCGGCCACTTTATTTTACTCAATTATTAAAATCAAATTTAGGTTACCTTTGTGCACTGGTGGGAGAAAATGGTACACTCGATATGGTTCACTGATGTCAAGTCTGCTTCGTTCCGGTATCTCCCGGATGTCCGGCATTTTGTTTAAAGCGCATCGTAGTCTCGTTTTCCAAATGATAGGTTCTGGTTTATCAATACCTTCGCGGTACCGGCCGCTGTGAATCGCCCAAGCCTAGAAATATACAAGTATGTAATTTATAAACTAAGGTTTATTGCTGTTTTAAATCGTTGGTGCTTTTTTTCATTGAATTCGTCAGGAGAAATTGTTGTTATTTTACAGATGTGTACCAAATGTTCTTCATATTGAAAAACACATTTATTAGATTTATTTTATTTTCTATGCGTGATATAATTTGCGCTACAGAGCAGTTGTAAAAAAAACTTGACAATAAAAATCACCATGAATATTCTTGAATCTTCTTCAAGGCTGTAATCTTGTCGACCTGCGTGTTTCCATGGCATACGAAATATGGTCTTTTCTTCATTTTCCCAGTATAGTCCGGGAATGGTTCCACTACAAAAAAAAAAACAATATAAACATGAACATGTTAAAAATTAGTTTTGACAGAAATTTTCACTTTGCAATGCAACACAAACATGAACGTGGTAAACATTAGTTATAATAAAAATTAATACTTTAAACCTAATTTTTATTTTTATTTTCGTTCAACTCGTGTTTTTATTGGAAAACACGACTTTGAAATAATTTTGAAATTGCTTTGTAGCATGTTACTATTTTTTAAAGGATATAACTGCAAGAGTTGGCATACATATGCTTTTACTTCAAATATATGACTGCGATGGAAGTGACCCTTGGCCGTGTTTGTAAAAAAAATGAGCCGTCACAATTAACCTCACCTTCCAGAAAATACAAACGAAACATAAGGTATTGTCCATCTATCAACAAATCACAATATCGGATGTGACGTACAATACCAGACAAAATTACACGAAAATGAAAATTGACATCTGCTTAACCTTTCGACTCATTAATTAAACCAAAACCAACCCTTGCCAAAGTGTTGACGGTCACCTATTTTGATATAATAAAATCTATTAAAAACGAGCGCTTTTTTATCCACGCGTAATAAATATAGCGTCACTCTGGCACGCTTTCTGTACTCTCATCAAAATATTGAATAAAAATTCGAAAAGGATTATTAATTTGTATGATTGCACGCTTTTCTATATTTACTCGGAAATACGGCGACAATGATAATTGCTAGGTCAATGGGCAATCAGATATTTAATGTAAATAATGTTTTGTCAAATATGATTTATATCAACTTTTTAGTTGGAATTTTAACGTAAATAATTCCAACATAAAGTTCTAAAATAGAATATAATGCAGTCATAAATCGTATTTTTTTTCATGTTTAGGTCATCTTCAACTAATGAAATTCACGGATAAATACATGATAAATTGTAAAATGAACCGTCGAAACGTCGAAGAAAAACTTATTGGGTTAGCGTTTGGTGTTAAAGTCACTATTGTGGCGTAGAAAATTGAAATATTTCAATGTGTCGATTCTTTGTGAATTTCATTTCATATATATTTCATGTTCTTGTAGTCTTCTTATCAAAATAAAAAAATAAACCAACTAAATAATTTTCCCCGAATTTAAATGCTGGCTGGTGTTATTTGTTACTGCATTTTGCATAACGCATCAAATGAGATTTGCAGAAGACAATCAATTGAATATTATTCTATATAGTTATTTCTATTAGTAATTTGCTGGCTTAAAACGCTATTTTAATGACAGTTAAACACAAAGAATATTTGAATACAAAATTCTACTATGTGTTTGTGAATAAAATCAGTCTGCAAGTGTGGTGAATATAAAGTATATTTCACTAAATTAAGAAGTCGAAAACCGATGGGACTTTGGTTTATAATTGATTTTGTTGGCAAAATGAAATTGATTAACTTTAATTTTTCATTTTTTGTGTCAACAAACTGATGCGTCTTGTAGTGGATAACATTCAACGATCAAGAGCAGTTTAACACGGTCAATTTTATCCAAAAACAACCAAACTTATTGATGTCAATATCATTAACTCGTTAGACCTTGATAAGTAAAAACGAATATCAAGTTGCCACATTACCAAACATGTTTGCAAATTAAAAAAATTTTCTCAAAAATTCTTATTGCGTAAAATTGGTCATTTTGTTAAAAAATTATGTGGCAATTATCGGATATATAGAAGTTTTAGTGAAAAAATACAATAACAAATAATAAAAAATGGAAATGTCAAATTATTTATAATATATTATTATATACAATTTTCAAGTAAAATTATTTCCGTAAGTTGTGTTACTGCAGCGACTGAAGAAATGTTCTTAAATGTACAAACAATTACTTGGGCTAAGAATACCCAAGTTTTTTTTCTTCAAGCAAATACCCTCGATGGTTTCACCTCACCTGTCGATCATTTTAATCAGCCAAGTTCGTAAACGGTCCCGGTATTCTGGAGTGGTTGATTGTGCATCGTCGCCATTTTCTTCTTTCGGTGGCGCCATTCTTACTGCGTTGTGAATGCAGACTAGACTACCGTATAAATATCAACTGTTTCAGTTTCAAACCCACGTTAGTGTAGGTTTCCAAGAAATAGTATTAAAATTGTATCTAGTCTAAAATATATTGTGGAATATAAACTGTGGAAATAAAAAAAAATAAATACCGCAAAAATTAAAAGGTATCCGATACAAGAAAGTGAGAATTGCTAAATTTTAAACCCCCAATCCGTACAGATAAATTGCATTACATTCGTACACATTAATAGCTTTCAATGGTACGAAGTAAACAAGGAGAAAGGACTTGTAGTTCAGCACGCAATATCTTGGTATCCTCTGTGTTAATGAAATAATAGAGCGCCAGTCAAGAGTTCTGCATGTTTAAATTCAGTACGTGGTCGAATTAGGCATTATTTTACGTTTACAAAATAAAAACTCTAGTAAACTTGATGGCAACTGAACTGAACTATAAAGCAATGATAATACAAGAAGTATGAGTACGGTAACTGAACCAAGTCGATTTTGATATGGATACTTCTATGAAGTTACCATTTCAGTTGAATTATCAAAAATACACACACGTTAGGTCGCACAAACAAATATATAGGGCTAGGCTCATATCCAACGCTTCATAGATGCTGTCAAAGCGGCGACCTACTCGTACTAGCAAAATTGCTGCATTGTACTACCCTACTCTGGCGCAAATAAATTATATTGCAATTGCATCTAATTTATATATAGTTCACGCTCTTTTCGTTTTTCGATTAAAACCAAACCATCCAAACCAAACAACAACAACACAAACTTGTGAGGGGGCGCTTTGCATATATTCACTACACGAAGTGAAACTTATATGTAAACGCGTCCCCGAGTACAAGCGATCCTCTCGCAGGTCGAATTACGATTGCCCTCGAAAGTACAACATCGCGCGTACTTTATGCTGGGATTATAGAGACGTAAAAATGTCTCTCGGTTTGACGCATCACGTTTAAACAATCGTACGTGACACGCGTTTCTGCAATTGTAGAAATAAGTAGCACGACTGATACTATCGTGTGGTATTATTGTACCTGCATACGATAAGTACCCCTATACTATACTGCATAAAATACTAAAATGCTAATTTTTCACGTATTTTATCATAATTATGCAGTATTTATATGTAAACCAGGGTTTCTCAATCAGGTTTTCAGTCCTGCAACGGTACTTGCGAAATACCATTACAGAAAAAAATCGTTTTTGTTATAAATTGATCACTGTATGTTATATACGTGAAATAATTATTCAGTAGTTTAGAATTAAATAAAAAGGAAAACGGTATTATGTATTGTAAATCTTTTTTCAGCGAACGGGACTTTTTGTGCCGTGTGTTGTCTGCCCAGTCATTCCAACTATGTGATTTTTGTTGGATTTTTAATAAATTTAAATGGGGCTGGTATATATACAGCATTCTGTTAATGCGGTTCTAAATTATATATGTCTCTGTTACTTTAAAACCATATTAAACTTCAATTCGAAAAGGAAGTTTTGAGAAGCCCACTAAAACAGAATCAGTGAAGATAACAATCACATACGACAAAGTTAAGAACATTGAACAATTAAATTTCTACATTCTAAGATACAGAACGTCAGCTCTATCTTAGATCAGAGTGTGCAAACCATTCTAATTATATAAAGATAGTTTATCTGAAGTTTATTTTTATTCTTTTTTGTCTCATTTGTCACTCTGAAGTTATTTTTATAAACAAATTGCACTAAAACAATATTTATATTATGCGTCAAACCCTGAGAAATCCTTCCACAATTAAACATAATAATTCTCCTTTAATTTGTTTTCAAGTATAGAAGTTGGATTATTATTAGCCATTTAGCAAAGTGAAAGTTGTCACAATTCAGCGACTACTTTCGATATTTCAAATTAAAAAAGAATCGGTAATCTAGATGAGTCGCCTTGTAAAGTTGATGGCGATCGTGTGTCACAAAATACAAAACTAAAAGCATGCATATACAAATAGAGATATATTTTTAAGCAATGGCGTTTTGGTCAGTTAGAACATTTTTAAGGTTGAAGTCGTATAATTGCTCAGGGATTTATTGTCAATACCACCACAAGCCCAAAACATTGAAAACCACATTGAGACGTATTTTAAGGCGTATCATATATATTTATAAATTGGTGTTGGTTGCTGGTTGGCTGTTGGTTTTACGCGTGTAGTTGTCCCGTAATTGACTTATCTGTAACCATAAAACTACAGAAATACACAACTTCAAATTTTTGCAACATACAAATTAAAAGAAAAGGCTGCAAAAACATTATTTGGTTTGTGAAAAAAGTAACTATTTTTTAAATGTAATTTCGATATTAAAATATATGCATGATAATTAAATATTTTTTGAGTCCAGAAAATTCAACAACTAACAGCCACAATTGGAGAAAATTCAGTAAGTTGGATCAGAAACCCGACAATAATTATGTACACATCCTCGCATCCTGATGAAAGATATGTACATACAGTGCTAAGTCCATGTATATCCGCCAAATATAGAAAAGAGAATTATCGTGCAAAGTTGTGTCTAATATTTCTACTGGTACCACCTAGCACCGATTTTATTTAATTGTGGTAAATAACAAGAAAACTTTTTTGCAAACTCATTCTCCATCTTTTATCAATTGAACATTTACAGATTTTGATCATTCATGCCTGATGGGCGTACAAACGTATTGTATGCAAATGAGACTGGTTGTACCACGTGGTTACCATACCACAATAATGATAAAATTCTGACATAAACAACATTATTACTATAAATATCATTACATATACAACATAACTACTTATCACCGCCAGACGTGATGAAATTTTTGTCTAGTCATTAACGATATGAGCGAATTCTCAAGGTGTAACTATTTTCGATTTTTAATTCCATGACGCAATCACGCGCGACGGTTAATTTAGAGCTGAACGACCAAATCGTGATACCAGACCTCGTTTAAGAACGCACAAGTTCATCACGTTTATGTATCGTGAAAGATTCGAATCGCCTGTTGTTTCGAATTTTTGCAGAATCATTCAACAAAAGAGAAAACTAAATTCAATCAACGTGTCAAATTATTTCCAAATAGAGTAAATTGTACTTTGATTTTGGGTTGTTTTTACCCACTTGTATTTGAGGCGGTTTCAGTTCAGTTACATCTATTTCATGAAGTTTTATGATGTCGTCGACCATGGATTGGCAAAAGAAAGAATGGCATACTCTTTCCCAACCTTAAACACTGTGAAGTCGTTGCCACCGATTAATAACAGTACTTGAAGTTGTGTTTTACTTACTTGACTGTAGATCAATATAAACAACTCACTTCAAAATCAGAAAACAATAAGAATGAGCCGCGAACTGTACTTGTTTTACTTCTATCCTGAGAACTTAAGCTGCATAACGAGTTTGCTGAAAAAGCAACATGTCTCTGCTAAAACTTATATATATTTGACTGTTGATCAATATGTAAATAACTCACTTTAAAATCAGAAACAGTTATTTGAAATTATCTGCACTCTACAACCAGCGTTTTTTTCAGAAGTATACGTCTTTCTTCAGGCTGTAATAATACTGAACCATAATATCAAATGATCCAGACTGGCGACCACTTAAGATTTACAAATATTATATATATATATAGAACTTTCGATTTCGACGAATGAATAATAATAAAATATTAAACAAATTCCGACCGACGTTTAATGATGAGTAATAAACTCGAAAGCGAAAGTACACCGTACTGACAGCAATATAAAAACAAGTCACACGTATTGTTGAAAATGCGATGTTTTGACATTTTTTTTAGTTTTATAACCTTGAACGTAATAATTACAACTTTCTGTTAATATTAATATTGATTGATTAGGATGGAAATTATGCTTATTTATTATTTACGCTAGCCGATTGGAATTTTCACCTGTACTAATTTATCTTCTCTCAAATTCAAAAATAAGCAATCATTTTGACTAATACTATTGACTAATAAAAGTAACTATTTATCATACCATATTCTGTCTAGTGTATTAAATAGAGCAATGCTCAAATATATTGACACGAAAGCCAGAAAAAGGAACAAATCTTTGATAGTACCGGTAGTCTGGCCACCTGATCACTGAGATTTGATTACGGAACCACGGCACGGTTTAATTTTGATGACGTCATTACACAAAAACGAATCCCCTAGTCCTAGAGCCCACAGATATTTCTGGAATAAATAAAAGTAGCCTTCAACAAGCTTTAACCTCTTAAATTTATGCAATAGACACGGAGGCAATAGCGTGCTTCCGGATGATACAGAACAAAAAGTCCCTGTACTCAGTATAAATAAGATGACATGTATGACATTTGATTGTAAGTTATTGTCTTATGGCAGAGATGACATTATGGATGGTATTTGGTATTCCCTTGAATATTCATCATATCGAATAAACAAAGAGACTTTAAAACTATCATCAAGATTGAAATAAAAATGAATAAATGGAGATGAAATTTGACTTAATTATGACAAAATTACTTCGTATGAAACCTGTGTCATAGTAAAATATCGTCGGATTATAATAGAAGAATTCGCAAAATATTGTACGAACGTAAATATAGGTAATTAAACAAATTTATACAACTTTAAAGCCGGGTATTTACCACTACTAATCAGTATGTTTAGAACGGAATTTACAAATTTCCTTGGAAAACGCAAGTGTCCACCGAACACTTTTTCCCAAGTTTGCTTGAAATCCTAATATTCACCTTGTTTTTATAGTTTTAAATATATCTCAACTTAACTTACCTAAAACTCTCAATCATGAAGTTTTTAAACCACTTTACGCGGAATGACGTATAAATAAGTATTTCATCGAAATCGAAAACATATTTTCTTTATTTAATTATAATTAGTGTTGGATTATTGTTCTTTCGTTTTTTTTATTCTTTTAATAATTTCAAGTTCCATGGAAGGTCATATACAAATGAAACGTTCACTCATAAAAGAAATTTGAAACAACATGACAAATTTAAATTGGCACATAGCAAAATTATATTCATCAATGTCCCATACATGAGAATAATGATGACAAGAAAAGTGCTGAAAATGAAACTTCGATAGAA